CCCGCCGATCCACCCACCCGTCAACTCACTGAGGAAGTGCCTCATTCTGCCCCGGGCTCCAGAGAGCATAAACATAGCATGTACATAGCACAAACACGGCACAAGACATAGCGTAAACATAGCACATGATGAGATAGCACAAGACATAGCACAAACAAGGCTCGAACATAGAACCAGTACAGCTTGGAAGGTCTTGGCCATCGGGGCAAGGCTTCCTGATCGGGTAGCGTACAGCTAGGAAGGTCTCAGCCATCCAGTGAACAAAACAGACCGTTTTCTGGCAACGCTTCCTGATTGGGTAATCTACAGCTTGGAAGGTTTCAGACATACCGTGCGGAAATCACACACTGGGATTGGATGGAAAGATGGACAACCAGAGCTTAGTCTTCGTCCAACCACCCTCGTACTCAGCTCTGGACGTGATTGGAGTTAGATTTAGTTAGGTCAGGCTGCAATTGCAGTCAGACACTTTAACATAATGAGAAGCATACCTTTGACATGGGAGGGGAGGGGGGGCACCCCCCCCCCCCCCCCTTGAAGATAATCAGATCCATACTGGAAAAAAAAAAAGACATGACATCAGACAAACAAGTTTTATACCTGAACCCCAAAACTGCACCCCTGACTCTAAGAGGCGCCCCCCCACCTCCTTACATACCACACAAACCAATCTATACATGGGGGGAAGGGGGTGTGGGGGAGACCAAGTCAGCATGCATGAAACCAGGCCAACGTGGGGCTGCCCTACCACAATAAGTTTCGATAAACAGCCACAAAAAAAACAGCTGCAACATTTGAGCCCCCCATCCTGACAGCCAGGGGGAAAGGACGAGAGCCCCTGGCTCTGCCTGCGCCACCACGCTTGGCATGGTCTAACACTGTGTTCGCAGCCAGGAGGCTGCGCTATACCCGGTTGCATTTTGTCGCGTAGTGAGGACGTCTTTTACAGGAAATGTCGACGACGGCGAAAGGGGTTTATGGGGCTGTAACATGGGTAATTGAAGGGTGCGGTCGCTGTCAGGGCAGAGACCGGTAGGCCGGGTGGTCCCTACTGCAGTTGAAGGGGGGCAGACCAGGGGTCATGAAAAGCCTTAGGCGGGCCGTTTTCATGGACGGAGGCCAGTTTTCCATTTCGAGAGATATGGCGCGGGGGTGCGATTTTCGGAAGGCCGGGCCGAAGTGGGTTTGGAGGTGTGCACAGCAGAATGCTGGCTTGCAAAATGCATGCTCCTGTGAGTTTGCCCTCGAAATGGAAAAACCAAAATCGAAAAAAAACACAAAAAACAACGGTTGCCGTGCTAAGTGGAGCGTGGAGCGTGGCGATGTCCCGAGAGTGGGCCCGTTTCAAGAGTGGTGTGTCCAGGCCCGTTCACAATCGTTTTCGTTCGGTGCGCTTCGAGCCCTGCCCGCCGGCCGGTCTCGCTCCCGAGTGGCTGCGCTTCCGCGCTTGCGCGGTACACAGTGTGTGTGGGCGCGTGTTTTTGCCTGCGGTGTCGTGCCTGAAGGTGTGGAGAGTCACTTTCACACTACACTCCGCTGGAAACGGAAATAGGTGAGTTCGTGAGGCTTGGAGAAGTGCACCCTCCCTCCCTCCCTCCCTCCCTCCCTCCCTCCCTCCCGCCCGCCCGCCCGCCCGCCCGCCCGCCCGCCTCTCGCCCTCTCTCTCTCTCGGCGGTGTTGTGCGTGAAGAGGTGGAGAGTTCCCGTTCACCATCTGCCTCAAAACGAAATACATCGTTTCGAAAAAAAAAAGAAAAGAAGTTCGTTTTGCCTGGCCTGGCGAAGTGCACCCTCCCTCTCTCCCTCTTTCACAGCGGTGTTGTGCGTGGAGGTTTAGAGTTCCGTTCACTCTCGGCCCAAAAATGAAATAGGTGGTTCGCCCGGCATCGCAAAGTGCACCCTCTCTCTCTCTCTCTCTCTCTCTCTCTCTCTCCCACCCCCCCAACTCCCCTCCCTCCCTCCGAAATAGGTGGTTCGCCCGGCATCGCAAAGTGCAACCCCTCTCTCTCTCTCTCTCTCTCTCTCTCCTGTCTCTTATACACATCTAGATGTGTATAAGAGACAGCCTCCCTCCCTTTCTCCTTCCTTCCTCCCTCCCTTCCTCCCTCCCTTCCTCCCTCCCTTTCTCCCTTCTCTCCTTCCGTCCGTTCGCTTAGGGCTGCAACTCCAGTTTTTGCAGGGGTGCTTTGTTGCAAGTGCGATGAGACAGGATTTTGCACGGCCGCTATCGGAAGGAGTAGGTGGGGATCATGCCGTGAATGCGGAGAGGCAGGGGGAGAAGGAGCACTACAGCTAGGGTGACGTCGAGTGCCTGGTCAAGCAGGCAGGAGAAATCTTGAAGGGCTGGAGTAGCAGGAGAAGGACAAGGGGAAGGGTGGGTGAAGCATTCAAGGTAAGTTCGCCGTCGTTGAGGTTGTGGAAAGGTAAGACGCGAGGAGAAACCTAAAGTAAGTGGGAGGAGCACGTAGGTCGGCGACCCAATTTGCGAAGAAAGGGATGCGCAACGGGGATTGGGGGCTGATCAGGAAGTGGGATCGAGAKGGRGAGAAGGTCGTAATSCCCGGCAATCAGGGTGAGGATGTAGGAACGGATGAAGTTTCAGGGGAATGATCTCAAAGGCAACAGGGTGAGGAATGCAGGGCTTATGGGGAGATGCGGACAAGGTGGGAAAGAAGGGATTGCAAGGCTGGACGAGGGTCTGAGAGCGAGGAGAACAGGTTGTCAGTAAAGGAGAGAGCAGGATAATGACGAAGGGGCTGAATCACTCGAGGGAGGGTAAATGTGGATATGCAGGTTTAGGGTGAGGAATGGAGGGGGTATGGGGGGGGAAGACCGGACAAGGTGTGGAAGGGGTGAGATTGCAAGGGAGGAAGTGGGGGGGTCAGAGAGAGGAGAAGAGGTTGTAATGAAAGGAGAGAAGGATAATGACGAAGGTGCTGAATCATGAGAGGGATAGGGTAAATGTGTATATGCAGGTGATGGAGAGACAAGTGAAGAGAGAAAGAGCGACAGGCAGAGGAAAAGAGGAAAGGACATATCAGATCCACAAGGGGCATGTCGAGTAGTGGAAGAGCAGGAGCTCGAATAGGATCCCAACGATGGAGAGAAAGGCGAGGAGAGAGACAGGAAGAGAGAGGGGACAGAAAGAGAGAAAGGAGGGAAGAGGATGGGGTAGTGCTGTGGGAAGATCGGGAGGGCGGATTGAGGGCACAAGGTGAAAGATTGAATCGGACAGGAGGAAAGGAGGCAATGGAGGAGGAAGAAAGGGAAAAAGGCGAGCGGGTAAGGGAGAATGAGTGTGTGTGTGTGTGTGCGTGAGAGAGGGAGGGGGGTGGGGGGGAACCGACAGTCTGTAGAGTTTTCCATCTGGTGTCGGTAAGTGATAGTCTGCTTTGAATGTCGTCACAGGTACCTTGAGGGCAGTAGTTGGTGGTCCCCACTACCTCCGGGTATCAGTTGTCGGGCAGTCATTGATGCTTAACCACAACAAAATGGGGTTAAGGTGGATTATCACTTACAGCGTTCTAATCAGTTACTAGGAGATTCTGCAGACTCTCGAGGGTTCAGCCTCTTGATAATCCACCGTGAAACTCGGACGAAACAGTTTGTCACAGCCCCTCCCTCGTTTGTTGTCCTCTTCTCCCTTTCTCCCTCCCTCTCTGCCCCTACGGTTTACCGTAGGCAGTTCTGTTTGATGTTTTATGTGGGAATCGTCATCTGGGATTGTCTTTTATGTTTTTTGTCCCAGTAAGAATGGTTTACAAAAGGGAATACCAACGTCTTGATGACGAATAAGGCCATCTGCTGTACATAGATATGTATCTGGGATTCCTTTTTCTTTTTTTTTGCAGACAAGAGTGTATTGTCCTGGGTGGTCTTGTCCCGTCGTTTGGCCTGTGAAGGAGGCAGGGGCGGTGCTTGCATGTGGGACTTGTTGTCATCTAGGATCCGTTTTTGGTGCGGTTGCTTTGGCTGTTCCCTTCCTCTTTTCTTTGCCTCTTTGCCCTTTGGCTGTTCCCTTCCTCTTTGCCCCCTCTTTTGTTTTGTTTTGTTTTGTTGTATTTAGCTGTTCCCTTCCTCTTTTCTTTGCCTCTTTGCCCTTTGGCTCTGTGCAAGTGCAAGTGGGTCGGTATTACACCACACGGGGTTGGAGGAAGCCGCCGCTCACTCAACCTACATCCACGTGGGCGGCCTTGTACGCAAGAGGAGGTTCTGAACAGGGGTTGTAAGAAAGAAGATAAAAAAAACAGAATTCATTTTCTTCTTGTTCTCTTCTGTTTTTTTTGCCTTTGTGCTCTGTTATTCATGGGCTGGATGATTCCAAGATTTTGCCACATGGGCACGCACCATGAACACAATTTCGGACAATGGTTGCACGTGGTCTGTTAGACGGGCATAATGCATGTGTTGCCTGATTGGTCGGTCATTTTGGGTCAGAAAAGAAAAAGTATGCCCCGTTCTCCACTGTTCCTCCTCTGGTTGGTTATCGTGGATCGCGTAAGGTGTGAACAGGTGCTGACATCAGACTGCCCTGCATTGTCTAATACACTGTGTATTCATCCAGGCATCATTCGAGATAGGTCACTTCCAGGTGCTTGCTAGTGAGGGTCAATTTGCCTTCAAATAGGTAAGCACTCTCCAATCCTGAACAACATGGTTGAAATATTAGCATCTCTCTCTCTCTGTCTCTGTCTTTCTGTCTCTTTCTCTCTTTGTCTGTCTCTGTCTCTGTCTCTGTCTCTGTCTCTGTCTCTGTCTCTGTCTGTCTGTCTGTCTGTCTCTTTCGCTCTCTTCTTTTTGTCTGTCCGTTGTGCGTCCGTTCGTCTGTCTGTCCTCTATCCTTCGGTCCATCCGACATCCGTCGGTCCATTCGTGCAATGTCAGTCCATCCATGCATCTGATGTCTGTCCGCCACGCAATGTCAGTCCGTCTGTGCATGTCTATGGCTTGTTCTCTTGCATGCATGCATGTGTTCTCTTACTCTCTCTCCTTCCTCCCTCTCGCTCCCTCACGCACACACACACACACACACACACACACACACACACACACACACACACACACACACACACACACACAAGGGAAACACACACACACAGACAAAAGGGACACACACACACACACGGGGTTCAGCCTCCTGATGAGCTAGGTGAAGTCCGGCGAAACTGTCTGGTATAGCAAATATGACAACGCACGAATCCTCCTGTTAGCTCTGAAGGGAGCCCTCGTTAGTAGAACAGCACTACCTGTCTGTTAGGAAAGTCTTTTTTTTTTTTTTTTTTTTTTAATTAAGAGGCAAGGGTGTCGTACGGGTCGGCAGTGTCTTTCTTCATCTTCCTAACCAGGATTTTCCCGTCAGCATGCTTTAGCAACTCTTTGAGCAAGCTACTGTAGGTGTCTGTTTTTTTAACTTTTTTTTTTTTTTTTTTGGACCAAAATATATTTGATGTGCAAGATGTCGTCAAGTCTGGATTTGCAAAATATCGTCTAGCGAAGGAAGCCCTTTGCCGACTCTGTGTGCTTTTGGGCAGGCAAAGCTGGTCTTCCTGACGGAGGGAAGGAACAGATTGCACTTGCACTTGCAATCGGTTTGATTGGTGGATGAAAAGTGATCTTTTTCCATGATTGGACTGCAGAAGTCATGCCCATCTGTTCTTGTCTATGAGTGGTGGTGGTGTTGGGTGTTTCTATAAATAGCACAGAGTGATATGGATTCTCTGGAAGTGAGGGATGCACTCTCCAGGTGGTAAGGAAAGAATTACAGGTGTTCCGTTCTTCTGTCAACACGTGGTTGGCTGTGCTTTTGAACAGACCAGGTGCGCTGTTCTTTGTGGCTTGCTAGCCGTCGAAAAAGAAATAAAGAAAAAATGGTGGCCTTGGGTTTATCTGTGGATACTTTCCGAAGGGCGCCGGATACCAGTATTCTTCTCTGCTCTGTCCAGACTGACAGCAGATGCCAATCAAGTTCAAGGAAGATTGGTTGCAAGTCATTCTTGAGCAGGATGCCTAGGACAGTATCATCCTCTACCACCTCGAGTGCGGTTCGCAGTCATTTGACTTTCTGTCACAGTGACTGCGCAGTCAACTCTGCACACTCTCGTGTGATGTCGTCCTTTCCCGGCGATGCGAAGTCTGCGATGTATGCGATGTATGCGATGTCTGCAAGGCCTGCGATGTCTGTGACATCGTCTGAGTGTCGAGAGCAGCAACTGCATCAGCTGCGATGCGTCAGTTGCCAGGAAGGCAGAGTTATGGGGGCTCGAGGAGGAGGCTTCTTGACCTGTCAAAATAGCCCTTGGGTGTCTGAGAAGTCAGTTGGGCCTCGGCTTCGCCATGGGCTTCGGCCCCCGCGTAAGATTAATTGCCGGGAATCTCTTTGCGTCCGGTGCGAGAAGAATCCAGGCATGGAGTTTTATGACGACGACGAGGCATTCACCTTTCACGGCGATGAAACTTGGAATGCGAACGTGGTCGTCGAAGAGGAGGGGGATATCCCTCCTAGTCCATGGTTGGGCGCCGTCTTGTTCCGTCGGAGCAGCATTCAAAGGCATTACGATCTGCATACGACGCTGGAGCGCCTTCACTTGCATAGGTTCTCTTCGGAATTGTCACGCAACCTGGCCCACACGATGGGGATCAATTTGAGTGAAAATCAGCTGACGTCTACAGATAACGATGCCCCCCCGAGTGCGGAGACACCTGTGTCTGTATCCATGGATGTAACGAGGAAGGGCAAGGACCTTCATTTGGAGGGTATGGTGAGGACGGCGATGTCCGTTCCTTGCAATCGCTGTCTAAGTCCGGTCGCAGAGCGTGTGTTTGCCGACTTCCGCTTGACGCTTATGCCCAATCCGCCACAGGAGCCCTCAGCTATCTCCATTGGGGTCTCACTTGATGATGATGGCAACACAAAACCCCTTAGCAACAACAGTAGTAAGGAAGGGGGGGTTGAGGGCTTAACAGGAGTACTGGATATAGACATCGATGACAAATTGCATTTCCCTCCGGAAGCGAAGGAAATGGACCTGTCATCGTATGTGCGAGACACGATTCATCTGGAGATACCTCTCTTCGTTCACTGCGATGCGAATTGCAAAGGGCTCTGCATGCAGTGCGGAGCAAACCTTAATCTGGGTGCTTGTACCTGCGAAACGGTTTCTGACGATAGACCTTGGGGCCCTCTGGAGCAGCTGAAAAAACAGCTTGAAGAAAAATAGCGCAGCATGCCTTAGGATAGGATGTAAAGTAGGTGCCAGGGCAAGCGTAAAATTGCCCACTGTAGTCGGTCATGCTGTTGTCCAACACTGAGTGAATCTGTGTTTTTCAGCCTGTGTTCCATTCTTCAGGATTCTCTCATGTTGAGCTTGTTTGTTTTCTTCTCTCCCTTCCCCGCCATGCCTTCATTGCTTCCGTCCGTCCTTCCTTCCTCTTGTCCTTCCTCTGCTCCTTTCTTCCATTTCCTCCCTTCCTCCCTTCCTCCTCTCCTCCTTCCCCCATCCTCCATCCTCCATCCTCCATCCTCCATCCTCCTTGCTTCCCCCCTTCCCCCCTTCCGCCTTGCCTCCTCCTCTCCCTCCCTTCCTCCTTTTCCTGCCTTACCTCCCTCCCTCTCCTGCTTTCCTCCTCCTTCCCTCCTACCCCACTCGCCTCGTCACCTGCCTCCCCACTCCCCTCCCCACCTGCCTCCCCACCTGCCTCCCCACCTGCCTCCCCACCTGCCTCTCGCACCTGCCAACTTTGCTGCCACAAACTCTGCCCTCTGGCTCCCTTCCTTTCCCTCCATAGAGTGTCAAACCGGTGAGTGCACTCACTCGTATCAAATGCTACCGACCCATAACGCCACCAGAGCTTTCAGTACACTTTTAGATATTATAACGACACTGCCCCCAGTGTCGTTATACTATGTGAAAGTGTCTTTGACAGCTGTGTTTGGGTTAGGACTCGATAGCGTTTGAACCAGCACACTGACCCGTTCGTAGTTCCCTGGAGGGATTGTGGGAGGAGACTCAGCACGTTTCAGATGCATGAAGCCAGGCCCTTCCCATCAAAACCGAGTGCTATGCTGCACCTTTTACGGACCGTAATCCCGAACCCATTTTGCTGCGTGATTGTCACCAGACCATATTCCTGAACCCATCTTGACTGCTGCTTTTCTGATCTGTGATGGAACGCAACAAATATATTCAGATCATCTAGATCACGGTCATTTGTCCTTTCTCTGTGGGACACGTGGGGTCGGCTGGATGGGTCTATGGACTGTATACGAGTCTATAGTACTGTAGAATCTGAGTCTAAAAAGGTCGATGACCCCAAATCAAAGCTTGATGACCCCGAATCAATCAATGGCTGATGAACCCAAATCATAGTTTGTACACCCCTAATTAAAGATTGTACATCCCCCAAATCGATCAAAGGTTGATGACCCCGAATCAAAGGTTGATTAACCCAAATTGGAGTTTGTACACCCCTAATTAGGAGGTTGATGACCCCAAATCAAAGGGTGCCAATCCGAATCTTCAGTTCTGTGCCCTTCAAATCAAACGAAGGTCAATGGCCTTCTGTGGTGTATGCCTGTCACATTGTGGTGCAATCACCCACGCTGCTATCGCATGCTTGCAAACGTCACACTGAAAAAAATGGATGGTTTTCTCTCGAGGAAGGTGATCGACCTCAGTTTGTTGTTGGATGGATGGTGGTTCTGCGTGTGTGGGATAGTAGTATTTCAGTGGGGTTTTGGGGGGGGGGTGCACCTGGGGTGTTTGCTGCATCTTGACTCCCTCTGCTCAACCTTTCCATATTTAAGGCTTTTGTTCTTAAAAAAAAAGCCCTTTTGTTTGACAAAGCAAAGGCTTCTTTTAAGGGTTCCCTTCTTTCTGTTTTTTTTTTTTTTTGTTTTTTTTTTGTTTTGTTTTTTTTTGCTTTCCTGGGGAGGGCGCAGAGGGGGGACAAGGGGGATGAATGGACATATGTCTATTGACCTGCCTTCCTTTCTTTTCTTTTTCTTTTTTCCCAATTTGTTTTGTTAAGAAGAGGGTAGCTCTTAGTAGTGTGGTGCACCCCCCATGATATGGAGTATTATGGACTCTGAGGAGCTGAAAATACGGAGGAATTTTGTGTAGTATATGGTTTGTGGTGGCGGCATGCAGCGCGTGATATATATTGTCACAAAATATCAGAGCGCAAATGCGGGAAAAAAGGAAAAAAAGAAGAAAAGAAAATTGAATTCAATTTTTTATCTTCTTCCTTATAACTCCCTTTGTTCAGAACCTCTTGCATACAAGGCCGCCCACGTGGATGTAGGTTGAGCGGCGGCTGCCCCCACCCCCGTGTGTCATATTGACCCACTTGCACACAGCCAAAAGGCAAAGAGGCAAAGAAAAGAGGAAGGGAACAGCCAAATACAACAAAACAGGGAGAAACAAACATAAACCAATCGTAGATGACAAGTCCCACATGCAAGCACCGCCCCCACCATCAGGGCCAAACAACGGGACAAGACCAACCAGGATTCAAAACACCCTTGCCTGCAAACAAACAATCCCAGATAACGTACCTTTCGTGCGCGCCAGCTCCAAGAATCCTTTGCGATTGATTTTATTGTTGTTGTTGCAAAAATTGGTACAGATTTAAACTGTCAAGTCACCGCTTCGCGGGTCTAAACTAAATTACTGGGACAGCACCGACAACAAGAAAAAAACATAAAAGACAATCCTAGATGTCGATTCCCACAAAAAAGCACCGCCCCCTCACAGGCCGAACAACGGGAAACAACCACTTAGAATGCCAAAAAAATAGGAAGAACCCCGGCTGACAAGTCCCACATGAAATCTCCGCCACGGTGCTCTAACCGTAAGCCGAACGACGGAACTAAACCAACCGGGGTGCAGACAAGGGTGCCAAAATCACAAAACAAGGCATAAAAAAGCTCCGGTCCACAGTGTGACAACCAAAAAAAGAAGAGAAGACAATCCCGGGTGACAATTCCCACATACGAGCACCGCCCCGCGCTCAAAGGGCCGAACAACGGGAAGCAACCAGGATGCCAAAACCCCGAATGACTGGTCCCACGTAAAAGCACCGTCACGCCCATGAGATAGCCCAAACAACGGGACCAAACCAACCGGGATACAGACAACATCAGCAAAACAAATTCTACCATAACCATATCCATAATAAAAAAACGGAACCATACAGTAGGCCGCGTGATATATATCTGAAGGTTTTTTTTTGGGGCTTACTTTTGTGCTTCCCTTCTCTGCTCCCCCCCCCCCCCCCCCCCCCCCCCCCCCCCCCCCCCCCCCCCCCCCCCCCCCCCCCCCACTTCTCCCCTTCTAACCCCTTAGAAGAGAAGGGTAGGAGGGAGATTTGTGTATATAGGAGAGGGGTGTAGAGGGAAGTCGATTGCTGTGAGGGGTTGCTTGCTTGGGCATGTTTCGCGTTGTATGTCAGAGAACTATATCCTATCTATCAGGATTTGAGTTTTTTTTTCTTATCAAGATTTGAGTTCTTTTCTTATCAAGATTTGAGTTTTTTTTTCTTATCAAGATTTGAGTTCCGAACATAATCTGTTTATCCAACTTTATCGACAGTGACGTAGAATCGTCGTAGATGTAAAGGAAAAGAAGAAAACATCAAAGACAGCTGCATGGGCGTAGCATTCAGAAAAAAAAAAAACAGTTTGGCGGTTTCACAGGAAGTAATGCAAAAAGGAGATGAGAGGAGAGGAGAGGAGAGGAGGAGAGAATGCCGTGAAGGAATATATGGTGCCATCAAAGGAAAGACATGAAAAATGGCGGCGAAAAATCCTGAGCTGTAGGAGGAGGAGGTTAGCTCTTCTTTGGTGATTTGCTTTGTGACTATTCGACGTTCATTTTTTGAATTTGTAAATTGTAATACCATTGCTACAGCAGGAAAGGAAGGGGGCAAAACACTCCAGCTCTAGTTTGAAAGAAAATCTTTTCTTTTGATAGTAAATTGATACTATTTAATATTTATAGTTGCGCCTTCGTCTACTTCACAGCTTCACTTAGAAATGAATCTCTTTTCCGAAGTTGTAGGTTATGATGATTTGTTGCAGTCGTATTGACGGGCGGGTCTAGCTCAGTCGGTACACCACCACAGGGCCTAGCTCAGCTGGCGCGCCCATGAACTGTTGAAATCTGATATGAATCAGACCCCAGTTCGAATCCAGATGCAGTCAGATTCACAAACGCACTTCTGAGTTACCTTGGTTATGGGTTGCATCGGATGCAGCAGAAGATATACTATATACTATATAGTATGTTTTGAGACCTTTGGTGGTGCGGGGAGACGAGACGGGGAGTGAGGTCGAGTAGTGTGATTGGATGTCAATTCACGGAGAGCTTCTTAGGCTCGAAGTGAAGTGGAAGATGGCCTTCATCCATCGTAAGTTCATTCCAATGCAATGATTGCAGCAGAGCTTTTGTGGGTAATTTAATTGGAGAACGCTGGATAAATGGATTCCCAACGTAATCCGCTCGGGACTAGAAGCTTTTTTCATATGACATCGGAGAGATTGAAGAGGCGGACCATAGGTGCTGCCAGGCCCTTCGGCCATAAAATTTGGTCTTTTGTTTCTAGGCTGAGGGCATACTCACACTAGGACTTTTGGTACTCAGCTTTGGCCGCTATTACAGTCAGATACATCAGGGTCTTGTTGTAATCGCAGTCAGATCCATTTGGAAAAATCCTCGTGTGAGTAATGCCCATGCCCGGAGAGAAGGTAGGTATCTGAGGCATCATTCAAATTGATGTTTCTTCGAAATAGCGATGCAGCACCCTGGGTCCAGCTTGGAAGTTGTGTGTTCTCCTGTGGTGAGTATGTGTCTTTCTGTTCTTTTTTTTTTGTTTAAAGGAAAAAAAGAAAAGGGCGATGGCGTTGAGATATCATCATGAAACTGACGGGCGCTACATAATTCAGGAATTTCGTTCCGATGAGATTGGCTTTGAACTCAGGTCTGTCGTTTCGACAGTTCACGGGCGTCCCAACTAGGATGGCCGTGTTGGTGGCGAGGGAGTCTTCTAGTAATGCACGCACATCCACCTGCCTTGTACCCTCACGTACATTATTCTATCGCTTACCTTATTATCTCACGGAACGTGTCGTCTAAAGGCATGGTGCTTCCATGATCGTTGTGCTTTCAAGTGTCTCGTTTACTCACGGGCGTCATGAAGTTCCGTACGGTGGGTGAGCTTGTATCACGTGCCGCGTTGTTGATTCACGTTTCTCGTCAATGAATGCGCCTCGTCGAACCCTGTGTGATAAGTTCCTCCCTCAATTTATTTGCCCCTTGGATGTCTAAGGGTGGGAGGGGCAGGGGGCTAAGATGATCAGTGATTTCTTTTAATGTTTCATTTTTTATGCGTCAATCTGCATGTGCATGAATGAGGTACTTTCCTCCGATGGCTGTGGCTGCTTGCTCCGGTGTTTTTCCAATTCTCGTTGTGTCGGCAGACAGTTTTCTTTTCTTGATAGTGTGCTTGTGTGTAGTTGATCTGATTGGTCGGTTGGTCGATTAATTGCTTGGCCCTTGCTCCATGCTGGCAAACATGTTATTGACAGTGGCCAACAGGATAGAACTCTCACCCTCGTCCATTGCCCGTTGGATGGAGTGTCACGACCGACTGTTGCACGAATACCATCCATGAAGTGTGAATCCGTTGGCGCTCGCTCGGTCGGTTCGGTTGGTCGGTTGTATGGGCTAGACTTAAGGAAACAGTAGGTGGCTGCCTCAGCATCTACTGACTGCGTACGCCTTTGGAAATAAATCATGCCTGCCTGCTGTTTCAACGATTGTTTCTTCTCAATTTGGGAGTTCATGCGAGCTGGTGTATGTAACCCTCCATCCGGATCTGAGTATCTACAGATTGCTTGTATATCGACTTAAAAGTCTACGCCACAGAAATTGGTGCTGAAGTAGTCAATGCTGAAAGTACTGGTGCCGAGGCCTGCCTGCTGTTTCTACTATCGTTTCTTCTCAATTTGGGAGTTCATGCGAGCCGGTGTATTTATAACCGTCCATCCGGATCCGAGTATCTACAGATTGCTTGTGTGTTGACTTAAAGTCTACGCCACAGAAATTGGTGCTGAAGTAGTCAATGCTGAAAGTACTGGTACGGAGGCGCCTAGGGGCATGAGGATCTGGCCATGTGATTGCTCATGGGAATGTTTGGTGAATGAAAGATTCTTTATATGGTTGTCTGCCAGTGTATCCCGTCGAAATGATGCAATTGGCAGTCGTCGCCTCGTTGTCGAGGCTCTCCGGACTGTCATCCCTCTCATTGGCACACTCTGTTGTTCCGTCTGGTAGGGGGACGACGTCAGTGCGAAACCTCTTCGCCGTGTGCCGGAGAACCCCGCTTTTCTTGAGGCCGACAACGTGTTCTCGTCGTCCCGACCAACATATTCGGCCTTTGTGTTTGTGCAGAACGCGTTCCAGCGTGCCAGCCAAGCAAGGGCAAATGACACGGGGGAGCCAGCCCCCGCTTTATCGACATGACTTCGTGGCTGTTTGCGACGACAACGGATCTCCTCTTCCTGATGGAGGTAGCCAAGGGCTGGCAGTCCGAGTGATCTCCTACAACGTGCTCGCCCAGGCACTTGTTAAGAGCGAGTTCTTCCCTCACTCTCCACGCGGCTGTCTACGTTGGAAAGAGCGCTCGAAAGCTCTCGCAGAAGAGCTCGTCAATCTGCAAGCAGACTTCTTGTGTCTGCAGGAGCTCGATGAATTCAAGACGTTTTACGAACCTCTCATGAAGAATCAAGGTTATGCAAGCTTGTATCAGAAGCGTCCGGGGAGGAAAAGGGATGGGAGTTGCATATTCTTCAGGGAGAGCCGGTTTGAGTTGTTGGAGTCCGGCGCGATTGACTACAACGATCTGGTCCCTGCGGGAATGATTCCAGCCGGTCACCTCGAGGGCACGCTGACGCGTCGAGACTGGGATTCAGCGCTGGGAAAAGCGGGGCAGCATACGGAGTCAGTAGCTTTAGGAGGCCAAGCGGGCGACGATTCTCTCAAATCTCCAAGCGCGACAACGGCTACGACCTTTGGCATTGAGAAGGACGGTAGGATAAAACTTCTCCGCGACTGTGTTGGTGTTCTCGGAGTTTTCCAGGCAAAGGACAGACCCGGTGATTGTTTTATCGTAGCCTCTACCCAGCTTTACTGGGACCCAGAGTGGAAGGACGTGAAGATGGCTCAAGCTCGTTACCTTGTGAAGCGTTTGACTGCTCTTCGTCAGTCTGCCATCAACTCATACAGAGGCACTCTTCCCATTCTGTTGGGAGGGGACTTCAATTCTACGCCGGGGGATGAAGTTTATAATTATCTCACTTCTGTCCCTGATTGCTCCTTGAATCTTCCAAGCGTGTCCGGTACGATGGAGGTGGTGCCCAGGGAATCCTCTTCTCTAGACGATCCTGCTTCCACTGCTGCTGCTGCTGCTGCTGCTGCTGGCACCGTAGCCGCTTCTGCTTTGGCTGACACAGAGACCAATGCCACTGCGACAGAGGTCATTTCGCCATCGAATGATCTGGCATGTTCTTTGTCGGACAAAGACCCGGCTATCGCCAACACATCGTCAGGCGGCGTCATATCTAACTGTGAGATAAGTAGGCAGGTGATGATGGGGAAGCTATTCGTCAGTTCCTATGCGAGTGCTAGTTCGGAACCACCATTTACAACGATCTGTCCCAAATTTACTGGGACTTTGGATTACGTCTTCCTCTCTCCCCCCCCTTTGGCCAGGATCCGCCGGCTGCTTCGTGTCCCGGAGACGCCAGATGAGGCAACTGTTATTGGTGGAGTGCCTAACACGTTCCACCCCAGTGATCATTTGCCTGTGGGTGTCGATGTGATACTCTTTCCCAGGAAACAGCCAGGCAATTGACCCTGAACACAGGAGAGGAGTGCGGCCATGGATCGGGATGAGTGTAGAGTTCGACATGGTTTTGGGTTAGAGTGTGGAGTGTGCTATATCAGCTTGGAGTAAGAGGTTGTTTCATACAGGGGGGAGAGAGAGAGAGAGAGAGAGAGAGAGAGAGAGAGAGAGAGAGAGAGAGAGAGAGAGAGAGAGAGAGTATTGGAGGTAGTTGAACTTTGTTTGCAGATTCCTTGTTTGAGATTCATGATGTCAAATTAATGAGAGATGAGAGAGGAGATTTTGGCCAGAGTCAGTTTGAAGATGGCAATGATGAGTTAAGTGCTGCTGAGACTGTGTTGTTTTTGCACTTCTGTAGCTATTGGTCGTCGTAAGCAAAAGCTAAACCGAGTTGGTTCTGTGTCATTGGAAATAAGTTGTTCTGTTGTCATGCCGTGTGCACTCACAAAGCAATAATGACTGCCGTTGTGTACTGGGGTTGGCAGGCTCAGGAGAGTTCGTGAAGGAAGGAAATTGATTTGGGCCCTGTTTCTTCCTGAGCGTGACTTTGTGCAAGGGAGTTTGGTGAAACTTGGGAGGTGAGTGCGGCTGGAAGGGAACCCGAGGAGGAGGAGGAGGATGAGAAGAAGAAGAAGAAGAAGAAGAAGAAGAAGAAGAAGAAGAAGAAGAAACGAAGAAAGAAGATGGATGGAGGAAAAGGAGAGGTGGGAGGAGGGAGAGGAAGAAGAAAGAAGAACAAAGAGGCAAGAAGACAAGGAAGAAGCCTTGAACAGTGTACGAGGATGAGGAGGAGGATGAGGAGGAGAAGGAGACGACGAAGAAGAAGAAATAGGAGGAGAAGAAGAAGAAGAAGAAGAAGAAGAAGAAGAAGAAGGTGGGAGAAACGAAGGAAGAAGAAGATGGAGGGTGGAAAAGAAGAAAGAATAAGATGGAGGGAGGAAAAGAAGAAGAGGTGGGAGGAGGAAGAGCAAGACGAAAGAAGAACAAAGAGGAAAGAAGACAAAGGAAGAAGTCTTGAACAGTGTACCACAGACAGCGCCAACCTTGAAGGCTGAATTGTTGCATTTTATGTGTGCACTGTGCAGGCATTTCTACATTACTGTTCACATGCTACTTCCTGGATGAACATTAATGTTCTGTCCTGTGGCTACCTGAAAAAATAGCTTGACACGTTGTGCGTTTCCTGTCATCCTGAATGGATGAAGGAGACAGGTCTATTTTGCTATGTACTGCAAACAATGTTATGTACTTGACACAAGTCTCATGCAACGTGCATGCATGTGCTAGAGTTATATAATTCACGATGTTACAAATATTGGCAATCAAAAAAAAAAAAAAAAAAAAAGGTGAGAGTCATACGACTGCAGTAAGAGATTCGGAAAAAAAGAACAACAAAGGACAAGTGCGAACACTGCGAAGATCATCTTTGAGAAAGGTAGAGTGCAGACCGGTTTCGAAAAAACTCTTTTGTGAGTAGTGTTCTGCATTTAAGCTTTCACTGTGAACATATGAACAAACTACTACACATGGTCGTCAGGCGACGGCAGCCAATTGGATTACAATTACGCGGCTGGCACATATGTTTTCTGATCTAACCAGTGTAACCACAAGGTACTCTGGACACACCTCGGACTGCGAAGATAGTTGTTTTTTTTTTTTCAAAGGAAGTTGCTTTTTCATTCCCACACGCTTTGAGGTTGTAGGCTGTGGCTGAAAAATGCTGAAGGCACACCTCTGGTCTTCCCACCACTGAACTCGTGATTCTTGTTTTTTTTTTCTTTTCACTTGTGACCGTTTTTTTTATTTATTTCTTATACTTGTGATGCTCTCTCCGTTGGAACTATCGGAGATGTTTAAAAACCACCCACTCTTGTGACGACTACCCTGGTTAACAGGACTCCAAAGAGGCACCCGCCTTTTTTCAGCCGAGCCATTAGATTGACGATCCAATCGGCCACAGTTCCGTTTCTTGTTTTTGCGATTTTTTAAGTACGGTCTCCAGGGGTTGTCCATGTTTTTCAGGAGGTGGTATTACTGGCCTAATCCACCTAGACTACCGTCTTCCCCCGAACACAATGCACCCTGATTATGAATGCATACAAGCCACCTTTCGGATCCCAGATAGTCAAAATGACGGTGCGTTGTGTTCGGAGGAGAATGGTACGTGTTCACCGTGCAGTTGCCAGAAAAGGCACCCTCCCTTTTTCATGCCCCTGCGGCGGACACTTGTCCGAGAAACACACTCCGATCCTCATGATGAATTTAGGGAATGTGGACTTTGTTTTTTGAAGTCCTCAGGGATGATGTGCGATTGGTGTGATGTGGCATTCTGAGCCACACGGGCCCCAGTTAGGGCCCGGTTCCAGATAGGCAGGGTAGGCCTAAGGGGACGACGGTTCAGATGAGGCCCGGATAGGCCAGGACCACGGCGGTTCAGGCAGGCCAGGGGTAGAGGCCCAGGCCAACGGCCACAAGGCCGGTACCGGTCCAGCATAGGACCTACGGGCGGCGCAGCGCAGAGGCTGCCGCGTTTAGGCGCCAAGTCCAGTTTTAAAACTGGACCGTTGATCAGATCAACGGTCCAGGCCGGTAGGTACCAGCAGGTAGGAGGCCGGCCCAGCACTACAAAAGGCTGGGTACCAGCCTCAGTAGTAGGTTAGTGAGGTTAGTGATAGGACGTTAGTCTTCAGGATTAGCGCTACACTGCAGCGTTAGCAGCATTAGCGCAGTGCCAGCAGCGTTAGTCCGAGCAGCGAGGAGCAGGCGAGCGCAGCGGCGAGAAGGACACAGCGCAGCGGCCCTGCCGCGCCATAGCTACCGGATCAGGTACCGGGGAGGAAGGTCCTGCCTTCTCTCCCTCTGTTTCCTCCGCCCCCCTGCTCTCCCTCTCTCTCTTTCTCTCTGTCTCCTCCTACCTTCTCCGTTTTAAGTCTACTCTTGGGTTCTCCTACGGGGCTACTATGAGTATGAAGGATGGTTATGAGTTCTGATAACATTGGAGACAGCGACATTGGGACTATAGGTTGAGGACTACTTGGGGGATCTGATTTCATCTTCCTCTGGAGATGTACTTGACATTGTGAGATCGATATCTGAGACATTGTGAGACATTGTATTCGCGACATTTTGGATTTTCGCGACCTCTGACATTTCAAGATACTATCTTTGGAAACATTGAGTTGACGTCATCTTCCCTCTCCTCCTCTCTTTGTCTCTCTCCTCCCTCCATTCGTCCGTGGATGATCTCAAATCCTGGCCTTCATCTATGTCTAAGGCCAGGGCTTTCACACCCCTGATGTATGATTGAAAGTGTTCGATTGCAGTCCGAGTCAGGTCAGAGTCAGTCCATATATCTCAAGTCTTCCGCTTGCAATTAGTATCAACTCTGTATTATCTGGTCGGTTCTGGGAATCTGCGCCATACTTATGACTGTGTTTCACGAGTATGCAACATGTGAGCTCCATGGCGTTGCGTTCCATTGATTTCTGTTTTACAAGGATCTTAATCATATGGCTGCCCCGGACATCCAGACACCAGTACCGGACCTGTGTCTGGATGAACCGGACGTCCGGTTAACCGGACATCCAGACATGTGGACTCTGACGGTCCGGTTGGGTGCAGGCATGTCTGGAAGTCTGGATGCTAAAAAAAAAAAAAAACACAGGAAAAAAGCACACACACACACACACACACACACACACACACACACACACACACACACACACGTGCACACACGGCCTTTATCAACAACTAGGAGCCTCTCTGAGTGCAAGTGCAGCTGATCAGCTTCCTTCTCTTGAATCTACCCCCCCTCCCACCCCCAGGGCCCCGTTGATGTAGCTCAGTGGTTAGAGCACCGGTTGGAAATGCACATTGTGGTATGAGGTTGCAGGTTCAAAACTCCGCAGCCTTGCGCATGGACACCGGCAGGGCGTTACAATGACGCACGGCTGGACACACACACCCTTGGGATGATGCAGGTAAGGGGTAGTCCATGGCTGTTGTATGTGGGGACTCTGGGCGGTGGTGGTGGGTATCCTGATGTTCTTGGTCTATGGGGTTGTCATGAGACATCTGGGTGGCTTGCATAGTCCGGCTTACTTGAGCCCAGCAGAGCACAGCTACAGACTATTTCACAGTGTAGGTGTGGCATACTGCGCAGCCACACGGGCCTGCAAGGCCCGACCAGACGGAAAATCAGGGCCTTCCAGGCCCTGTGCCGTTTCAGCCTAAAAAGGGCCCTCCAGGCCCTGAGTCTTTTCAGCCTGAAACGGGAGGGCCATTTTCAGGCCCTCATAAGATCGACCTGCCCTGAAACTTAGGCACCAGACCCGGGTTTTAGTGCAGGCCATTTTGGGCCTGTTTACAAGACAACCTTTGTTTGAACTTCAACGCCAGGGTCTGGCACATTTTGGCATTGGCAAGAGCAGCCTCCTGGATGGGCCAGCACTATATAGAATTGGCCCGCCCTTCAGGCTGCAGGTAGGCCGAGGGACTTCCCAGGCAGTTCACGGGCACTTCACGTGCAGGAGGCAGTCTTCAGCATTCGGCAGCAGCACTCTGGAGGAGCGCTGCAGTAGTAGTAGTCTTCAACGCTGGGTGCTATTAGGAGCTAGTGTAGCGTTGGAGAGAGAGAGAGAGAGTGGGCGGAGGCCAGGGAGAGGCGCCATAGCTCCAGCTTCATCTTCGATGTACCTGCACCAAGGCACCACCTTCTCAGGTCAGTACTTGGGCACCAGAGAGAGAGAGAGAGTTCTTCTTCTTCCTCCTCTTAAGTCCACCATCTCTCCCTC